TAATAATCATGGATAAATGGATGGTCTATGTTTTTTCAGTCGTAAATAACTTAAAACAATTTGCTTTTTTTCTATAATTAATTCCTGATTAAAGGAAAACGAGTTTAGAAGTAGATGCACGAAATATTTTTATCACAATAATTACGCGCGCGCCAAACGGAAACTTCACACAAAATTAACCTCAAGGTTGTTATGCCGCATCGTGAGCACGTGTGAGAATTTTGCGGATGCAAAATCCCGGAAGTTAGAGTTTGTCGAGCCGTGGAGCGATCCCCCTCTTGCAAATAATCGATCAGTGAGAAAATCTACGTGGGTAGCTTTTTTATGGCTCCCCGAAGAGCTCATGGAGTGGATGGGCCGTCAGTTCGCGCTACCCTTCTCATATCTTTGCGGGACCACGCTTATAGATCCATTCTTCGTCGGTATTACCGCAAATGCGTAACATCCGCCGACTGAATCCGCACATTTTGCTCAATGCCTCGAACTCGCTCTCTCTTTTCTTTCTCTGTCTCCCTCCATTTTTTCTCTTCCTCTCCCTGTCTATCTCGGTTTTCTCTCTGCTCGAGAGTAATAGAATTTACCCATTTCAACTGCAGAAGGATGTCGAAAATATTTCAATGTCCATTTCGTATGATTTAGTCGACTAAATATTTATAGAAATAAAGTATGTTTATGAAAATATTATATATGTATAAAGACAAAGATTATGTATATTATTTATACAAAAGATATATTTAAAATAATTTTTAACTGTATTACAATTTGTTGAGCATCAGTCGCAAGTATCGTTTTTCAGCGAATTATTATTGGCTCCTAAAATAATCGTAAGATCCAAAGAAAAAATACTATCTTTTTATTTATATTATTTTTAACAGAAAATTTACTCGTCAAAAATATCGTATATTATTATTAGAAGAAAATTGGTTTTGCTTATTGTATGATATTGAGTGACCGTTACAATTTCCATTGAAAATGAAACTTGAAAGGGAAGATCGAAAGGGATGTACGTACATTTCTTCTACAATGGACCGTAACATTATGTGAATAGCTAACCGATACTGATGCACATATGAAGTGCGACATGTATTTCATTCGGGTGTAGATTGTACTTACGGTGAAGTAAAGCGGATTAGGATCGTGAGCTTTCGCGGAATCGGACGCGATATTTCGTCGTATTGAGGCGGATTAGCCTCATTCACGTTGCCGATTAGTTGTATTCATGCTGATTAGCTGAATTCATTATAATGATGGCAACAGTGAGAATTACATCAATTCTATAAAAAGTTGCTTTAAATAATATTCGGTGGAAATTGTGTGTAAATCAAATGCGCACATTCATCTAATTTTTATCAATTAAATGAGTCGCTTACGTTTCTGTATTGATTTCTCTCTTTTTACTACCGAGCTTTTAATTATATTTTTGATAAACATGAATCACGCTGAACTTTTTATAATAAAAAGTCCAATCTTTTAATCCATTATACATATCTTTGTAAGATTTGCTTCTTTTTAATTTTTTTTTAGCATTGTAATATATGAATTTAATCAATACAATAATAGGCTAATTGTATATATAATAATCCATAAAACTGATGAAATATTGTATGATTCCTAGGAATTTCATTTGAAAATTTATGAACGAAAATGTCTATAATGAAGAGATCATAGATACCAGAAGGTTTATGGGTTATCGTCGTATCTTTATCCATTGCTAATACCAACGTTTCATGAACCTTGTTTCCTTCATCAGGGCGAGGTTCACCGCTCACGAAACGTTGATAATGTATAAAGACACAGCGATAATCAGCCAACTTTCTGGTATCTTTAAAGAAAATACCCGTGAAAACTTTAAAAACGTTAGAGATCATAGATATTTCTTTGCGCTTATGTTATATTGATATTAAAAAACTGTTTTGATCACTTTCTTCAAATCGTCAGTCGTAGATATTCATAGATAATTGTCGTGCAATACATTTGATCAGTTTCGTGAGTCATTGCATATGCATACGATTGGAATATCGCGATAAATGAAAGACTATCGATTTTTTAGCTATTCCAAAATTCGTCATAAACGTTATCTATAACATATCTATAAACGTAAAGAGACGAGCATCTTCGTGAAGTTTCTATTTTTGCATGATTATTTTCGGCAGGTCACTATTCGCTATCTGTTTAGTTACAAAATCGATACGCGCGTCTGAGATCGCGTCAGGTTTACTATACGTCGTATTAAATGGATAAAAATTTTCCGGCATGTATAACTCAGAAGGACAAATGAGAAATATTGGAAGCTGTTGTGCTGCACGCTGACGTCGGGTTTGACTCTTTTGACGCCGTGCTAATTGCACGACGATGTTGTACGGGAGAGGTAGCTTTTTATGCCGCGACTGCTGATGACATCCCCGCTGCGCGCAGCTGACCCTCTATTATTTCTCATCGTCGGTTCTCTATCGGGCGAAATCCTCTCGTCGAATTGCACGTTCAGCACACCATGAATTCTTGAGTACGAGAAACTCATTCCACGTTTAGCCACTTGAACGGAAATATTAATTCCATTTATTTATAACGCGTTTATTAACACCGGGAGACTTGAATATTTTGCGACATATTAAATGTCGCTTGTTATTACAGACGATCGCGTCTGGAATTCTTCGTCTTTTTTTCTTTAAGTGAATTATTTTCCTTTCACGTTTTTCTTTTGCTTATACATACTTTTTCCCTCTTACCATTTCTTTTATCGATTTTAATTAAGCGAACAAGTATTTTCTCTTTGGCATATTTCTCTCTAAATTTAATACTCTTGTATCTGCTTGAGTAAGAATTTTTGTTAACAAAAAATGACAATATAAAATAAAAAAATAGTGTAAACTTTTTTGGGTATTGTCGCTATGGAAAAAATGGTCATAGTCTATAATTTCTCCAATAATTGCTAAATTGTTTTTAGTAATTCTAAAAGCCTATGGCCATCTTTTCTGTATGCCATCTTACCTGAGTTTACTCTATTTCACAGCATTCTATTATCTTATGGCTATACTTTATTCTATGATCTTGTAACAGTATTATAACAACGTATTGAAATGTCAAAGTATATTCTCGAAGTAGACATAATGTACATATCCGCTTTGTGATCAAAACATATGATTACGAAGATACAAATGACTTTCTGGATATATGTATATGTATAATACATGTGCAGAAATGTACATATGTGTGATTCCTATACTATCACATACGACGCATACATGAATACATGAGTGGTGAATAGTATTATATTATATTCCGTTCACGTACACGATAGAATAGAAAGGTAGCACGAACTGATAAGATAGAAGTTAACTGTGAAGTTTTATTACGTCAAAAGACCCGCTTTACGAGGTGGTTCCGTTTTCTATTGATCTTTGTATTGATTTCGTCTACGAAAAATTATTTATGACGTGACACATATTGATTGTGATTGGATAAGGGAGTGAAATAATTTTTGGAACGCAAAAAATATAATTTTCAGCAAATTGATATATATTTTTTATAATTTATATAAGAATTTCATTAAAATAGCCAAGATTTTCAGGCGTAAAGTAAATTCTCGCGGTATATTAATATTTAATAAATAAATCTCAGTAAATATATAAATATTAGAACGTTATATGAACAGTCAGCTGCAATACATTAATTATTTTGAAGTAATTAATCAATATATCTATACTAAAGCGTGGGAATGAATGCATATCGCATAGTTGTCGAATGATATATGACGTGACGTTCTTTTTATCGGCTTAGCCGGCTATATGGCTGCATCTCACGTAAAAGCTGGATATATCCCATCTCCATTCCATTCTCGATCGCATTCTGTACTCTCGGAGGAGGGATGATTCAATTGGACACAGAAATAAGGTTTCTCATCTAGGTAGAGATGGAGGGTATAGATTCTTGCGACATCTCAACTGCGTTTGAACTGTTGCTCTAGTGAGTCTTCTAGTTCTCTTTTCTATGTGTTACATTCTCTATTCTATTTCGATCTCTTTTCCCTTCCAATGTTTTTTTTCTAATTGTTTAAATTATCTCATTTTAATTTTTATATAAACAGATCATTGTATTTTTATTAATGAGTTTTTATGTGTTACATATTGATATCATGGATAATAATTATTAGACTGCGGAACTTTATGCAAAATACTTAACTGAATGTTTTGCATAAAATGCATATTTTGCAATTTTGTAAATTTACAAATGGCAATCTCAATCTTTTTACTTCACCTTTTAATAACTCTTTAATGAACAACGATTGACTACTAAAACTGTCCGATAGTTAATATTCAGTTAAGTATTTTGCATAAAGTTCCGCAGTCTAATAATTATAAGGTATATCATAACATGATAATAAATTCTTTTTAGAAGTACTTATACAGGTTAAGAGAGAGAGAGAGAGAACGTTTTGACGCTTTAAGCTTTACTTAAATTTGCAAAAGTTTCGTAATAAATTTTTTTTCAAGTTTTTTTTAGAATTACGACGATATTTATTTGAGGTTACTGTTGATTCAGTCGATGTACTTGACATAATCAATTTAGTTGAGATGTAAATGAGCGTCCTCCTCTTACACAAGTTAACGTAATTTTCTCTAACTATTTAATTTCCTGCAGCAAACATATTTTACCGTAGATTTTGAAGATTATGCTAAATAGGTGAGATATGTACTCGTGCTGTAATATTTGTGCTGCACTATATTTCATTCAAGCGTCAAAAGGAACTTTATGAATAATTCGCGGTGCTCCCGCATACATTGCGCAAATCGGATACAACCTGAAAAACGTAGCCAAGGGACGTAGTTTATGGAATTTGTAGATCCGACGTTGACACAACAGAGTTTTATTTACGATACGATTACAATATTCCATAAAATTCTATATCAATTTCTTTTATAGTAAAATTAATAAGACGAGAAGTACATTAATTAATAATTTATTTAAATGACAATGAGTATCTTCATCATCGCGAGACAGATAAATATTGTAAAATTATGTTTCGGTAGAAATACATAGTAAGTTCAAAGTTTGCAACTGTTTATCATGTAGTCGCGTAATTTATTGACGAAATTCTGAAAAGGAGGAAGCCAGCATTTTTACTCATCCATAAAAAATAGTCGAACACAAGGACGAGAAAGTATAGCAATCCATAAATTACATACAGTTGCATTATGAAGTCAATCGATGGCGATTCTTGGCTTTCTTGAAAATCTTTCATTTTGTTGCGCGAGCACATAAAGAAATCTTTACGCAGCAAAATTGTCTTGTAATTCACTCGTTTATAACTTTTAGATATCGACGATTAGTTTTGACTGCTTTCAAGACAAGTGCAAGATGCAATGCTTTTTCCCTCTTCTTTTTTTCCTTCTTTATCTGTACTGTTCTTAACTGTTCGTGCGTGACAGGCTCCCCTGATTATTCGACCCAGGAGATCGCAATTGAAAGGCGATTGGACGCTGGTACGATGAGTCATCAGAGTTTTATCAGGATCGTCGCGGTTGGATATATATTCGGTCGTTTCCGTGGTGACTACTAATTTTCTGTGATCGGCGAGTTCCCAGTTAACGAGACTAGTCTATCGCGATGAAATCGACAATGCTTTTCATGAGGATCAGTACCTAAATTCGCTCAAAAATTATTAAAATTTATTGCAAATAGTCTCTCTTCAAATGTATTTTTGTTGCTTGAGATAGATGCTTGATGCGGCAGCGATAAAAGCACCGATCGATCAAGAGATCAAAGAAAGTTATATCTTATACCTTGCAAATTAAAAAATGTACATATTATTAGTTGCAAGGTTCCTAATATTTGTGTCAATTATCTTGGATCCTGACGTTAGAAGTGCGAAACGTAGTCTAATAGTTCTGCCAACATCTGTCCACACGAAAGATTGTTCTATAACGAAATTATTCTTGATTTGGTAAAGAAAGCTGGTATCAATTTTGATTTATAATATAATAATTTACAATATATTAAAATAAAATAAACAAAGATAACATTCTCAAAATGATTAAAAAGTTTGAAAACAATGTAATATTCAGAAATATTTTACGTTTCTTCGTAATAGTAAAATAAAAAAAATTTACATTTTATTACGCTTTATCGAATTATATACAATAAATGAGTTGATGTAAAACTGTATACATGTAAGTTGTTTAAATTATTCATGTATACTTCTTGACAATTTTCTTTTTTTACTTGGAATAACTTTCGTACATATTTACACTCTTTAAGTTACAGTCGGTACTACTCATAAATTTACATGAAATTTAATTTCAAATTGTAGTTGTTGAATTTACATATATGAAGTAGAAATATTAAGATTGCTTGTAGAAAGAATATTTCACGAAGCAATACATACGGAAAAACTACGTTCGTTAGTTTCCGAGTCCGGTTTGGTAACGAAGCGGTAACTCTTGCAAAAAATACTTGTCCTGAAGAGATTTGTGCCGCCAACTTCTCGATACAGGATATTCTCCGATAAAACGTGAGTCGCATAAGGATTCGGATAATGTCTGAAGAATGCTTGGCAAACGGCAATCTAGAGATAGGAAAGTATCGTTTCTACCCTTTTCTTCATTGAGTGCCTTTGTCAAATTGCATCATGCATATAAGATTATTGGTTGAGAAATGTATAACCCGAATAATTAATTATATTTCGTTTTTGTCAAGTGTTACGTATGTAAGAAACAATATCGAAATATGTTTTTTTAATAGAAGTGCATTAATCATTTTTACTTTATAACTTGCGATTATCATTATTACTCAGTAGCACATATTGCCAATAATTATAATTACTTATTCAATTACTATTTCCTCTTTATTTTTTATTTCAAAGTTTTATATAACAAAATATCTGTTTACATTATTAAATAGAAATTCCATTTTGATCCAGATGTATTTATTCATACATACTTATTTGATGAATAACATTTGTTTTTTTTTCCATTCACCTCTTTTGTCAGAAATCCATTAAAAGATCGTTATGTGTTTGATAAATAATACGAGTCTCCTCATTAACGTAACATCAATGATGGTAATGCTCCTACAATTTTATTCTTCTTCCTGGCTGGTTCATCGTGAACAATAGCAATGCCTTCACAGCTCGGAATATGGAGCAGCTTCGTATTCACTCCTAAAAATATATGCGCCAATTTATTCATGGCTATCACTTTTCATCAAACGATTTATATTATAACGATGATATCAATTGCTAACTGCTTGCCATTAAATGAAATATCAACGAAGCGATTTATTTCATATCAATGATATCGATACGACATAATAATGTGATTAAACGAGTGTTCACCCACTGTCAAAATTAATATTTCCGTATTAAGCTATCCTTCCTTTATGCTCTTATAAGCTTATTTTATCGCGTAATTCTACAAATTTCACAGTAAATAAATAATAAATGACTTTTTGAAGTGAGAATTTTTAAAGAGTACAAAAAAAATTAAAATTCATTATATAAAACGAGAGATATAACCTTTTTTCGATGATTACTTTTGTTTTGTAATATTTTGTACTTTACAAATAAAATTGGTATCAACGTTGAAAAATAGATAGTACAAGAGGAATATGATTTGCTCTGGTCTCGGAAGATTTACATTCTAAGAAGAACCTTAAATTTTTCTCAAGATCTTGAAGTATACGAAACAATAGTTTTATTATAAGAAACAAAGTTCATGCGATAGCGACTAAAATGTTTGCCGTAATATTGATAATTGAATTTTGCAAGTTATAAAGTTATTGTAAACTAAATTACAATATGCTTCCGTGCCTCTTCGAAGGGAAGCCACACTGCACACAGAGCCAGGGAGAAAATATCTTACATCGACCCGTGTTAAAAGAGGTAGCTAAAATACTGCTTGACATTATCTATTTTCAACATATACATCGATTCGAGTTTATACGCGTCGTTCGATGACAGCGTCTGCGCCGACGATTTTCCTTTGTTCTTGTTTAAATAGAGGGTGGCGGCCAAAAATGGTTCAGCTGCTCCGCTTTTATCGTACCTCATTTCACAAGCGGCGACGCGTTTACTTCCTTTTTTTTCATAAATTCTGATATAATATCGTATGGTGAAGCATCGTTTGCCTCTTACATCTTTCTTGCTCACTGACATTAACCTTATGGTATTGTATCCTCTATTTTTCTGTTACATTATTTGCATAATAATTTTTACATTACGCGCAACAGTATATAATGCTTTTTTATGTTACGAATGTTTAAAACTTTTATATCTCTTTAACTTTTATATTGAATTTTTAATATTTTGGATATATATAAAGATTACGAGACAAATATGTTTTCGCACTCACAATTTAAAAATAAAACAAAAATAGGCAATAATAAATAAATTATATTCATAATTGCTTTTTTAACACTAATACTTTTTGCTACAGTACATGTGGGAATAATAATTCGATCTATCTTCAGTTTGGTAATGGAATTACTACATACTCTTTCTCAATTTGTCATGTTACATGTCAGGACTCGATTCCACTAGGAGAGGAAGTTAAAGTAATGCATTTCTGTCTTTAGTGTGATAACGATACGTTATTGAATTTCTCGTGATCGCGCTAATATCATAACGTAGAGACAGCACCTGAACAATACAAGTTCTGACTTTATCGCTACTGTTTGAGCTGCATTCATTATGATACCAGTCATCAAGTCTCTTGGTCCGAGATAGTATGTTAGGAGAGAGAGTCGGTCTAAGCAAGTACTAGCGACGGCGGTCAAGCTTGTAATCTGACGGCGGTGGGTCGTCTAGTCGGTCGGTCGAGGTAAACGGTCCATTAAGACGGGGTAACAGTTAGTGGCTGTGCTGCAGGAAGCAGGCAGTTTACTAATGCGACGACGGGAGGGAGGAAATACGAGGGACCTTCGCAAGGGCCGTTACAGAAGCTGACTCTGACGGTGGCTTTACCATCGCTGATCGAACTTGCAGCATTGATCCTGTTTTTGCATGTCATGAGATTCTTTTTACAAATATACAAACACGAATTGTTTTAAACGTATATTCAGATTAGTAAGTTTGTAAGGCATATTAGTATGATATCTTCGATAGAATGACAATATATCTATATCTTTGTTGCATTTAATTTGATGCATTTAAACGTGAATGTTCCATCGAATTAGCACGGTTGGTAGTTTCATATGAAGGAAAATACATGGAAGTGGTCGGCATGCGGGAAATGTAACCAGAGATTGCTGATGCAGAGGGTAGCAGCCTCTTAAGCATACGCGAAGCCGCGTTGGGGTTGCTCGACCTGCACGAGCCGAAGTTTGATTACTGTTTTCACAGCGAGGCCACGATGTGGGCTACTACGTATGTAGTAGCTAACAAACTAGCGTGTACTGTTTTGCGTAGTCGAGATCGTGAATTTCCTTTGCTCAGACTTTACCTGTTATCGCTTGCACGTGTAGTATAATGTGTTCCTAAGATTATGTAGAGTGTTGCAATCCATTAATTAATCTTGTGCAAATAATGTATATGGAAGATAAATTAGCAGAGATAAAGGAAAGTCTATTGAGTAAATAAGAGTCATGTATATGTCATTATTTTTAATTAAAATTTTATTTATAAGTATTTAAAGAAATTTAAAGATAATTTTAACTTTGCGATAGTAAGACTGGACATTAACTTTTTCATGTTTTAATTTTTGTTATCTGAATATCCAAAAATAATGTTTACAATTACATGAAATTAGATTTGTTATTTGTGTGCCTAGTCGAAGGAATTTGCAAAATATTATATATTTCTATATTTCAATTTATTTATCTTACATATTTATAATACATTTATAATACATATTTAAACTTGGACATAATAATTTTATAAGACAAAGCATGATACAAATTATACATATCTATAACTTGTAATATTATGGTACTTAGTACTCTTCTGTTTCTGTTTGAATGTTTCCTTTGGGACAATTCAGGAAATGAAGCCCATAGAGGACGAAGATTCAGTCAACTTTGGTGCTGTGTTTGAGCATTATTGTTGTCTTCTACAGTACTTACACACATTTACTGCTAAAACAGAGGCTTCGTAGAAATTTCAAATAAACCGAGTCGGTGTAGCATGCTGAATAAGATAGTCTTTTTATAGTCTTCTTTCGTGTTGGAAATGGAATATTTAAAGTTAAATTTGTTCTCGCGTGTTTGCGCATGATCTTTATTTTATCCACAAAGCTTTTAATTCGATCAACGTGCCGAAACGTGATCTTCTAAAGAAGTTTAGTCATAATAAATGTATCATAAGTCTTTGTACTTCTTCGTGAAAATATTTCAATATAACGGTATGATATTACTGTTAGATGTGACTGTCCCTCATTATAAAGATTATACTTTTGATAATTATGATATCATTATAATGTCTACGTTAATGTCGCTATCACGTGACAGTATAACTTTAATAAGATAGACGGTCTTATATTGATTACAAGAAATTCATTACGTTACGCAAGTGTAGCTGATTCTTTTATTGTAATAATGTCCTGCTAAGCCTTTGTATTTCATCTTATCGTTTAATTATCGAATTTCGTATAAATTTATTCCGGTCTTCGCTTCACTCTCTTTCCATCCCTTCGTTTCACTTCCTTTTCATCGTAGTTGCGCTTTCGTGCTTATTTCTCCTTTCGTTCTGGCCAGCAGCGTAATGAATTCGAGACAGTCATGTCCGTAGGGAGAACTTCTCTAGTTGAGTTTTCGGGATGAAAAAGAATACTTCCCGAAGAGGAACAACGAGGTTTGAACTCAATAAACTTTGATTTCGTCCGCACGCGATTACTTCAACACGAAACCTTGTGGCACGGGCTACGACTTGCTCGAGCATGCATTGTTAGTAAATTTTCTCCTTCAATAGCACAACAGACTTTCCTTTTAAGAATTTCAGTTATTTGTGCATTGTTTACTTCACAGCTAAGAAACAGTTTTATAAGGTTTATTTTTTTTATTGCGCGATTTATATGGAGGCTTGGTTTTTGTCATGCTCGATTAAGTATGCATTAGTTCGCTAAGGATTATAATCAAGTCTTTCTCAGCTTGTTTTTGTGCAGACAGACGCATGAGGAAACAAACAAAAATGAGATAAAAATTTTAATCATTTAATACGTAATTTTCTTTTTTTTTTTTAAGAAATATGAATATTTTATGATACACAATTTAGAAAAAAATATAGATATGCATTCTGCACGTGCACGGAAAAAAACGGTTTTGCTGAAGTATCTAAAAATTTAGCTAGATACAGATCTGAAAATAATTTTGTTGAACTATCGAAATAATTATGTAAAATGCTCAAATTGGTTGCTAGAATGCAAAAAACTTTTTGCAGCATTGCTCATCATTGCTTGAATTTTTTACATAATTATTTTGATAATTTAGCAAAGATAATTTTAGATTTGTATCTACTTATCTAATTTTTAAATTCGGAAAAATCGTTTTTTTCTGTCTAAAATTTAAAACATACGTGCAATCTGTAAACATCTACAAACGTCTCAGACAGCACCCGTAAATCAAAATGTAAGACATTTTAATGATATATTTCAGACGTCTTATGCCTTGATTTTGATATGCATGCTGTCTGGAATATTTCTGATATTTTTTTGTTAAAGAATATATTGAATATTAAATATTTTTTCTTTTTGTCCTGTGTGTGTGTCTTCTTTCATCTTGGTTTTTCGATTTTTATGATTCTTTTATAGCCGTCGACATCAATGTACAGTGTACACTATATGATCAATGTACATTATATGATCATATTCTTTTTTCATGTTCCTCTCTTTTCTCTACACTGAAAAAAAATATAGTCAATTTTAATAAATATTTAGTTGAATACTGCCAACTAAATATTTATTAAATATAAAGATATATTTATTTGATACAAGAAATATTAATTTGATTTAACAATCATTTTTTTTATTGAACAAACATTTATTTACTGTAAGTAAATATTTAGTTGGTAGTATTGAACTAAATATTTATTAAAATGGACTATATTTTTTTCTCAGTGTATATTTTAAGACTTCATATCGAGTTCTGTGTGTATTTTGCTTACGTACATTGCGTTTATACAGTAGATGTATTTGATTACGAAATATCACACTTACGTGCGTGTAATGGCGCGTTGCACGTGGTAAATGTAAAAGCGCACAAGTCTGCGAGTTTCCTTTCTCGTGTTCTCGTTCTCTTTTCGTCGTGATGGTGCGCGATCATCTTCTGCGAAACTTCAGAACGAGAAACTGCGCGAGGTGAGGAGGTCAAAGGAGTGCGAGGCACGGGGGAATAATATGCGACGGCTAGAATCCGTAGTTTCGCACGGGAAGGGAACAATGGACAAGATTAATGGCAAATGGGGCGAGTGCAGGGCAATACCGAAGGATGCGACAGGAGCACGCAGAGGAGTGACTTTGCATAATTTGTCTTGCAGTAATATCTGAAACTCGGTAATACTGTATGAATTGATTTGCGAAATTTGGACATTGGAAATAATCTGTGAGAGAACTTGAATGAAGAAATAATAATGAAATACGAAAGCGGATATCCGAAAAGCATTAATGCTATTTAAGTAAATATTAAGAAAACATAACTGTCGCTATAAATTATTCGTATCGTTAAGACAATATTTGCGTCCTACGTGTTTATTTAAATCATCGCTATACCATTTTATTTCTTTTTTGGTCCTTTTATTTTTAAAATAATTTCTATGGAAAAATGACAAATC